AAGAAAAATAGTCCAACCAGACTTGATGTTGGGACACCCTAAAGAGTGATATAAGCCAGGGTTGGAGGGAGCTGAGGGGCTCTGTTCCAACCTCCAAAGAAAGAAGGGGAAGACTCTGTTCCTGGCCTCTCAAGAAAGGAGGACCAGAAGCTGAAAGAAGACAAGCAGCACCCATTAGCCAACCTCTGCAGGAGGAAGAGAAGATGAAGACCTCTGTCAGAGACTGGGACTCCAGTCCTCAGTCTGACATCACCGGAAAGGAGCAAAGTCTCTGGGCCTCATGTCTGAAAGAGCTGTTTGTTGTTGGTGTTGTCCAGCAGCTCACAAAGAGCTTTTAACACTTGGTGTCTCTGACACAGGCTGGGATCCCAACTGAAAAGGGTAGTCACAGGGCATGAGGATGGGATGCCAGGATAGGCTGCAGTGGCACCCACCTGCCCAGGCTCTAAGACAAGAGAGCTGCCAAAAAGCCCCAAAGCCAAAACCAAGGGCTGGAGCAATACAGTACCCATACGATAGGGGCCTACAGGCTAGAGCCGATGGAAGGATAGTGCCCGGTAGGGGACTCATTAATGTGGTTCTCAACCGTGTGCACAATTGCAAGAGACTTCAGTCTGGAAACAACCACCTTGGGGGCCTCCCCTGGTGGTGCAGCGGTTGAGTGCTGGGCTGTGAAGCTGCTGCCTCTGCTGCCCGCAGCCTCTGCAGCGCGGGTTTGCTGGCTCGATCCCTGACCACCGGTGAGGGTCCCACATGGCGCGACAGACCTCTCCTGCCACCCGCTGCTCCCCTCAGCAATGTACTTCGGTCCTTCTGCCTATTCTGCTCCTTGCTCTGGCTCTGGTGAATTCTCTCACCCTCCCGCGCTTCTGACTTTACCCAGTGCTTATATAAATAAAAAAAAGAAAAAAGTTCTATTTGCAGAACTTCTAACCTCCTGGAACCCCCTGTGCAGAGTAAGCAGGTGCTCTCAGAGACTCCAGCTCCCTTTAGGGTGGCAGGTGCCAGCACACCAGCAGAGGACCTTACACTACTTCAAAGGAAACTGGCACCCCCTGATCACTGCAGCACTATTTACAGTAGCCAAGCTGTGGAAGGGGTTGTACACAGATAATAGAATACTACTGATCAAGAAATATAAACTCATGCCATCTGGGGCAACATGGATGGAGCTAATAGACATAAGCCCAAAGGAGAAAGACAAAAAGGTCACTTAGATATGGATATAGAGAAATTAAACAAAGGGCTAGGTTAAGCTATCCCTTGAGTCTCCCAGGTGGTGCCTGACTACTGGCTGGGGCTGAAGACCAGCCAAGGCTTCCTGGCCTGGCAGCACTGGATGGTGGACTGACCCTCTCTAGTTTGACATCAAACTCATTTGACGACAAAGCCTGACTCCTGCTGACTGAGTGCCCCATTGTCTTGTTTCACCTACACCACCACTGGGTCCCCAGCCTCTGCTGTTTGCTGGTTCTGAGATGGATCTTGTACTTGATGCTGCATGTAATTTTTTGTTTCTTTGTTTTTAGATTCATTTTTAATTTATTTATGCATACGAGAACTGGGATATAGGCCAGAGGTACAGAGGGTGAGAGGATTCACCAGACACAGAGTAGGGAGCAGAATAGGCCAATCCACTGAAATCCACTGCTGAGGGGAGTAGTGGGTGAGACAGGAGAGGTCTGCTGCCCCATGTGGGTTGCTCCCTGGCCAGGAATCAAACTCTGGTCTAAGAAGTGATAGCACTCAGACTTAAACCTTATGCCCCCACGGAGGCCCTGTTTTTATTTTTTTTTTACATCTTTTGATATTATTTAAAATAATAGAAGCACTCCTACTGTTCTACTTTCATAATAAACACGCTCCAGCCCTTGGCTCAGGTCAGGTTTACACGTGTCTTTGTCACCTTTACTCAGTGTCCATCTCTCACGACAGGGCAAGCTCCATGTCTCCAGGGTCCTCTCTCTGCTGCCATTGTATCTGCAGGGGAGGCAGCTTGGGGAGGCGGGAGCCAACCAGGGAGAGGGATGCTGGCAAGTGAAGAGGAGACAAAGGCAGAGAACACTTGGGAGCTGCTCCCTGGTTCACTGAGAAAAGCATTTCTCAAAGTGTGGTTGTGGAACCCTTGAAGTCACCCAAAGCCTGTCACAGGAGCCACAAAGTCAAAACTATTTTCTAAATGTCACTTACACACCATTGGCTTTTTCACTATTTTGACATCTGCTGAGGTAAAACTTACTAAAAATGGAGCTTATATTACTAACTGCAGTTATTCTTCACAACTACTTACCTCAGAAACACAACTCCAAGCCAGTTTCATTTCAAAGTGTCTTGGTTGAAGCATTAAAAATTATCTTCATTATTCTGTCATCCTCAAATCCACATTTTACAGCACCTGATGCGATGACACGCAAGTGCACACACAACACTCCTGTTGCGTCCCCAACTACCATGTGCCAAGGAAAATATTTGCATGCGATGAATTAGACAGGTTTTTTTTTGTAGGCAATTACATCTGCACATGAAGGAATGAATGACAAAATCTGTGGCTATTTGATTCGGTTAATTAGACAGACATTGTCCTGAACATGAGTGTGTGCTCCTTTAAGAAAATCAACTGACAATTGCTAACTGACAGTCACTTCACCTTGACCAAATGCAAGTGCTCAGAAAAAAACAGAATCATGGAAAATTGTGTCCCATCACTAACTTGACAACTTCCAGTACTACTTTTACTTTTTGGATTTGTGGTGAAAAATAAAATAAATTCTTTAAAATAATTTGATTCCAGTGTAATGAACATTGAAGAGCTTTATAATTTGTGGAACAATATATTACTTTAAAAAAATCACACATTAAAACTAACTGCAGTTAGTTTTATGCAAGAGAGAACTATGGAAATGTAACTGAATAAGAAATATTTAATGATATTGTTTCAGGTTTCACTTTGCAAATAACCTGGGAGAAAATGCCAGCTGTATAGATTTAATTTAGTATCCAAGTGGAATATTCACAATAATGTGAAAACACTACTTCAACATATTTGTGTGAGGCTGTAGACATTTTTTCATAGACTTCAACCAGAACCACAGCTAAATGCAGAAGGAAACATGAAAATCCTACTGTCTTCTAATGAGACAGACAAGAAAAAACAATGAGACAGACAAGAAAGACAACTGCAAACATAAAACACGTGAAAGATCCACTCTTCCCATTGCCCTGATTAAAAGAAGTTATTTAACAGGCATTGGTTATTGATTATCTATTAACAGGCATTGGATTATTATTATTATTCTAAATGAAACAGCTACATGATCAAACTCAGCTTTATTCCCAGTGTGGTAAGTATGGGGAGCGATACCTCCTAAACAAGATTATACTTGGCGTCCTCCCTAATCTGTATGACTGGACACGGATCCGGAATGGAAAATGACTGAGAATCCCAGACCCAGCGCTTGGGTCACGGAGACAGGGTGAGGAAGCTTGGGGTGAGGAGAGGAAGGGGCAGAGCAAAGCCGCAGATACCCTAGTCTGGTTCTCATAGTTCCAGGCCCCAGGGCTGTGTCTAGGGCAGGAAGGTTACTGTTGGGGATACCCCACTGCCCCCTTAGCCTCCCTTCTGTCTCCACCACCTGTGCTGGGCCCTGGACACTTGTGACTCCTCCCCAGTTCTCAGTCCCAGTGCCTGGAGGTTCCCAGAGAACCAGTCAGCATCACTGCCTGCCCAGGTAAGTCTCCACCCACCAGGCTGGAGTCAGAAGCTCCCCAGACCCCAGCAGTGCTGGTCATGGTGTTATGGGACAGGGAGAGGGGCAGCCCAAACCCCGCAAACCTGCCTATTCTAAATGGGTTCTGCCATCCGCCGCATCAACACAAAACACATGAGACTAATGGGAAGGATCTTTAATAAAACTAGGAAACAATACAGGTAAGGCAAAGAGTCTAGTTTCTAAATGAAGCACCCAAAGTTACCCGTCCCCTCGTGGGTAAAAGTCCATCCATTTGGGATCGGCCCAGAGCAAGGCCCCAAAGCCTGCTACAAGTCTAAAGCATCTTCCAGTGGGGACCCACAGAAAAGGGTCAGAAACAACCAGACAAGCCCAGAAGGAAAAGAGCAAAATCAACATCAAGATAAAAGCTGCCATTGTCACCTCCCCACGGTCTCACCCACATCTGTGTCACCCAGTCCATGACCAATAGGCAAGCGCAGTTTCTTCACGTGTCTCTAGGCTCCATGTGCCTCCTCCAGGTCTCCTGGCTCCATCCTGCTTCCTTCCTTCCTCAGTCTTTTCTGCAGCTTCTCCTCTTCCTGCTCAGCTCCACCCTCCCTTGGGTGGGGCAGGGAACCTCCCCCTTTCCTGGGGACCACCCTGTTACAGTTCGACAGCGACTCCCCGGGCCAGAGCGCGGAGCCGCGGGCCCCTGGGCGGGCGGGCGGGCGGGGCGGGAGGTCGGGCGAGGAGACGCGGCTCCGCAGACACTTGGCGCGGAGGCTCCAAGCGCTCCTGGAGGCCCCGCGCGGCCGCCGCAGCCAGAGCCGCCCCCGCCCCCCGCCCCGAGTCTCGGGGCCCCGTGACCCCCGAGGCCGTGGCCCCTGCCAGGCCTCTTGACCAGGGAAGAGCCCGCGGGACTTTCACCCTTTAGGTTTTATTTAAGTTCAGGATTATTCAGGGCGGGAGATCGGGTGCGGGCAGGAGACCACGGGGTGACTGAAGGCCGGGCTCAGGGTCTCCCACGGTCCAGAGGACGCTGGGCTGCGCCGCGGGGCCCGACGGCGCCTCCCCCGCGGGCACGACCAGCTCCCCACGAGGCGCCGGGGACGCGCCCTGGGCGGGGACCTGCGCGCCTGGACCCGGCGGGCCCGCGGCTCAGCTCCCCGGCGCGAGGGGGAGGGGGAAGGTCGGGCAGAGCAGGACGGGAGCAGCCTGGGGGGCGGGTGCGTGGAGGGGCCCCCAGACTCCTGGGGATGGGGAAGGAGGCGCCGCAGCTCAGAGGTGAGAGGGCTGCGGGGCCTTTGATCTCCCTGAGGCGCGCACCCCGCAGGGAAATGGAATCATGGTGAGGAAGCGCCCCCTTCTGGCCAGAGAGGGAGCTGTCGGCCACGTTTTCCAGCTCTGGGATGGCGACTGGCCCAGAGGCTGCTACTTTTTCTGTAGGACAGTTAAGGAATCCAGTTTCTCCTGAGAAAGAGGGGAGACCACCCCTGAAATCACCCTTCACAGGATCCTTTTGACCGGCAGCCATCTTAGGAACAATGAGTTTCTCTCTCGAGATCTTGTTTTTTGGTCAGAGAGCATTTTTGGAGATCTCCCTCCTGCCTGTCTGTGTCATCACCCTCCACCCAGGTCAGCAACAAAATGCTCAGAGACCTGCATCCCACCCAGGGCTCTCACCTGCTATACCAGACTCCCAGATGAGGCTGGTTTCTGGGGTTTGTGCCCCTCCCTCCATATTCACCGTTCTGTCCACTGCAGGATGATCACATGAGGCTGCTTCAGTGTCCATGGAGGAAACACAAAGCATGAAATTTCTGATTCTTCCCACTCAGGCCCCCAGTCGCCATATGTGACCCATCACCCCATCTCTGGGCATGAGGTCAACCTGAGGTGCTGCGCCCTGGGTTTCTACCCTGCGGACATCACCCTGGCCTGGCAGGGAGATGAAGAGGACATGGCCCCAGGAAATGGAGCTTGTGAACATCAGGCCAGGGAGGGGGGATGGAAACTACCAGAAGTGGGCAGCTGTGGAGGTGTCTTCTGGAGAGAAGCAGAGATACACATGCCATGTGCAGCATGAGGGGCTGATTGCACCCCGAGTCCTGAGAAGGAGTAAGGAGGGAGATGTGAGCACACGGCTGACTCAGGGGCATCAGAAGGATGCCCTTCTCCCTTCTGGAGACCTTCAGAGGGTCAGACTGAGGCCTCAGGTTCAGGGTCTGACCTTCTCTTCCCTTTCAGTTTCCCCTCCTCAGTTCTCCATCCTTGCTGTCGTCCTCATTTCTGGCTTGGTTTTCTTTGTTGGTGTGCTCATTGGACACAAGGTGGCTTCATGTATGAGGGGGTAAAAGAAGTTCTCAGGTAGGGAAGGGAGTGGGGAGATCTTGTCCACTGGGGGCTTTCATGTCCCAGGGAGAACTTGCCCTGCCTGGTTAATGGGAAGTACCATCCACACACGTGTGTTGCCCAGAGGGTATTTGGTTCAGTCCCCTCTCATCTCCTTTCTTCATTTTTCCCAGTCCTGACCTGGGTCTTTACTCACAGTTCTGGAAACTTCCCTGTGGTGCAGGATTAGATGATTCCTTTAGCCTTCTGACCTGACTCCTCCCTGGTCTCGCATGATACTTCTTCCCACAGGAGGACAAGGAGGAAGCTACACTCAGGCTGCAAGTAAGTGTGTTCAAGGGTTGGATCCTTGAGCCCCTGGGGACAGTGTAGATGGAGCCCATGGGGGAGTCACTCTCATCAGTTCCTTCTGTGGTCTCATCTCTGACCAAGTTTTGATGTGTTCTCCCCCACCAGCCATAGTCCCAGTGCTCTGAAGTGTATCTCAGACCTTAAAGGTGAGACCCTCGAAGACTGCTGGGGGGCTGGGGTTTGTGGCACAGTGGCTGGGACAAGATTATGGGGATGCTTTCAGGAGGACATCCTGAGAATGCAATGGACCATTGATATTGTTAACACTGAGGTAATTCACCTGAATTTCTTCATCATTATTTTCTTTCAGGGTATTAGACAGCCTTCCGTAGGCCTGAGTGTTACAGGATTTCTTTTCGCCCATATTGTGTGGCTTTATGATCCCCTGGTTTAAACCTTCACACCTGCAAGAACGGCCCATATCCAAAAGACCAGAAACAACAAGTGCTGGCAAGGATGAAAAAAGGGGACAGTCGTGCACTGTTTTTGGATAAAGACGGAGCCAGCCCTTATGGAAACAGTACGGAGGTTTCTTAAAGAGTGAATGTGGTTCTGCCATTGGACCCAGCAATTCTACACTGAGGATCTACTCACAGAGGATAAATACTCTCCTGTGAAGGGACCTGCACTCCTGTCACCACTGCAGCACTATTTACAGTAGCCAAGCTATGGGAACCACCTGAATGCCCCAGACAGGTGGGAAATTAAGAAGAAGCTGGCATTACACGTGTACATATATGTACATATACAGATGACTCCAAAGGAGATGAACATTGGGGTTGGGGGAGGGAGCTGTCAGGGGTGAAGATGCCACCACATCCTAGCAGGGGCCAGGCTGGGGGGAGGGGTCCTGCCCAGCTCTTTACATCTCAAGGCAACCATGAGATATTTCTAAACCTCCTCCTCTTCTTCAGGTCCAATGCTTTTTTAGTCCTGCTCAGAAGCTACTTCTGCATGGACCTGTATTTACAGAGGTGTTGTTCTGACACACTTTACTCTGTGTGCGATTTGAATTAATTTATTCTGGGGCTGGATGTTATTTGATTTCCCATCATCTTATCCTGCCATTCCTCTTACACACACACACACACCCACATACATACTCCCCTCTCCTTGGGAACTAGACCCTCACTCAGCACTGGGGTTACTCTGACCCTCTGTCTCTGGTTCCCCTCACAGCCGCCCTCTCTGTAGTGTCTCTACTCAGCAGTGTTTGAGCAGCCCCAGGAGTCCCTGCACCTCCTGCCTCTGACCTTGAGGGAAACCAGCCCCTCAGCCTGCTTGACAGTGAGGAGGTAAAGGCAAAGTCCTGAGGTCAGTGACTGATGGAGGAGACAATTTCTTTTTACCTTCACGGTATTATTCAATTGAGGTCAGCATTGGTTTACACACTGCATGTGTTGAGGCGAGGGTCACACCTCTTCAGATGTTTGTTACCACATCACACCCACACTAACGGCACCCACAGTCTTAACCATAGCCCATTGGGCCCTCTTCCTACTTTGTTTCCTACTCTTACCCCCAGCCCATAACTTCCATTCTGTAGTCATATATATAGAGTATGTTTTGGTTTAGTTTCATCTGTCCCTGCTTTGTTTCTTTATATTACAAATATGAAATCATCCAGTACTTAACTTTCCCCTTCAAACTTATTTCATTTAGCACAATCCCATTCATATCTATCCATGTTGTTGCAAATCCATTATTTCATCTTTTTCACAGCCGAGTAGTATTCCATTGTGTATATAGCTTGTGTTCTTTATCCCCTCATTTGCCGTTGGGCACTAAGGTTGTCTTCATCGCTTGGTTATGGTAGACAGCACTGCAGTGACCATAGGAGGCACATATTCCTTGGAATTAGTGTTTTTACCTTCTTTGGATAAATACCAAGGAATGGGATGCTTGACCATGTGACAGGTCTATTTTGAGGAACCTTCATTTTTTTTTTTTTCTATAGGGTCAGGACCAATGTGCTATCCATAGAAAAGAGAGGTTCCAGGTTACCGCCCTGCCCAAGGAAAGGTGGGGCTGAGCAGGGACGAGAAGCTAAGGAAGAGGAGGAAGACGTGGAGTGAGATGAGGAAAGGACTGGAGGAGGCGCATGGAGCAGAGAGACAGGTGAAGAAGAAACCACACTTGCTTCTCACTTGGACTTGTGCCAGGGAGCTGGGGACTTGGAAAGAGACACGTGAAAGACAAAAACGTGAATGAGAGACCCATCGGGAGGCTGACCCTTTCCCATGGGTCTCTACCAGTAGGTGCCTTAGCCTTGTGGCAGGCCTTTGGGCCCCAGTGGGCCTGCTTTGTGCCAAGCCTGTTTGGCTGGGCATTTACCCATGAGGGGACGGGTAACTTTGGGTGCTTCACTTGGGAACTATTCTAACTATATTCTTTCTCTTCTCTCTCTCTACTGCACTGATTCTCTATTTTATAGTAATTATATTAAAGTTCTTTTCCATTGAAGGTCTTATGCTTTAGAGTATGTTTTGTCTTTATACAGCTGTTGGCAGATCCCATATAGAGTGTGCGGTTTTCAGGGTCCAGGGAACCCCTCATTCTGCCCACTAACAGGATCAGACATCATTCCCACCCACCATGTGCCAGAGTTCCTTTTCTTCCACACCCTTCAATGGGCCATTCTCACAGTGTGAGGTGGTAACTCATTATGGTTTCAATTGGCATTTTCCTGACCGCACATGACCAGCATTTATCCATGTACCTATTGGCCACATGTGTGTCTTCTTTAGAAAAAGTACCTATTTAGCTCCTCTGCCCGTTTTGAGTTGTTTCTTGTTTTGGAGTTCTTTGTAGATTTTGGATATTAACTCCTTGTTGGATTGATGATGTGCAAATAGTTTCTCCGATTTGATATTGTCCTGTCATTTTAATGCTAGTTTCCTTCACTATGTGGAAGCTTTTTAGTCTGATGTGATTCTATTGGTTTCTTTTTGCTTTTGCTTCCTTGGAGCACAGAAGGCATTATGGGCAGTGAAAATACTCTGCATGATATTCTCATGGTGGACACAGGTCATTATACATTTGTCCAACACCCTGAGAATGGACAACACCAGAGTGAACCCTGAGAGAAATCATGACTTTGTGACTGTGACATGCAGGTCCATCACTTGTAATTAACGTGTCAGTCTGGTCTTAACATGTGATTTAGACATGATGTATGAAGAGTTTTATAAATTGAGGAATAAAGTGTAATTTACTTTAGAAAGCATATTTCATGCTCATACAAGGACATTTAAACAACACTCAAGGATAAACATAAGTCATTCCCCTCCATCCCCAAGACCCCAGTCAGCCAATGTCTGCTCAAAACCAGTTAGCAATTTATCTTTTCTCTTCTAATATATCTCCATGCGCCTGTCTGGGCAATAGTGTTTGTTTTCCCATCAGTAAAGGATTTCAGGTCAGAGAGTGGGGGGAAACATTTGCAAATCACAAATCTGATAAAGGACTGTATCTACAAATAATGCCTAAAACTCACTGATCAGAAAGAAATAACCCAATTTTAATAAGGACAAAAATAATGTAATAAATGAATGGCACCTCATCTGTAAAAATGTACAAAATTTCCTTACAAACAGCAACTTTAGTCATAGAAAAGTAAAAATATGAACAGATGCTCAATATCATAGTTAAGAACAACAGTGATACCATCACACCTAGGAGAGACTGAAAATGCAAATGCTGAACAATACCAGGTGCTGTCCAGGGTGTGCAGAACAGGAATCTCATCAGGTTCATTGTAAAAGATTCTTAGGGGCTGAGAGACACATCAGAGCCCTGGGCACTGCTGCTGCCGGGTTGAGAACAAAACACACCTGGTCAGAAATGAGACCACAGGAGGGAGTGATGAGGGTGACTCTCCCATGGAGTCCATTTACACTGTCCCCAGGAGCTCAGAGATCAAACCGCTGATCCACACTTACCTGCAGCTTGAGTGTAGATTCCTCCTTGTCCTCCTGTGGGAAGAAACATCATGTGAGACCAGGGAGTGGTCAGGTCAGAAGACCTAAAGGAATCTTTTAATCCTGCAGATCAGGGAAGTTTCCAGAGCTGTGAGTAAAGACCCAGGTTAGGACTGGGAAAAAAATGAAGAAAGGAGGTGAGGGGGACCAAATGCCCTCTGGGTACCACACATATGTGAGGATGGTACTTCCCATTAACCAGGTAGGGCAAGTTCTCCCTGGGACTTGAAAGCCCCAGTGGACAAGATCCCCCCACTCCCTTCCCTACCTGAGGGTTTCTTCCTCCACATCACAGCTGCAGCCACTGCAGCTCCAGTGAGAACAGCTCCAAGGAGAACCAGGCCAGCAATGATGCCTGCGGTGGGCATGAAGGACTGAGGGGGCACTGGAAGGGAAGAGAAGATCATACCCTGAGCCCCAGACCTTATTGTGACCCTCTGAAGTTCTCCAGAAGGGCTCCTGATGGCCCTGAGAACAGCCTCTGTGCCCACATCCTCCTCCTCACCCCATCTCAGGACTTGGGGCTCCAGCAGTCCCTCATGCTGCACGTGGCATGTGTATCTCTGCTCCTCTCCAGAAGGCACCACCACAGCCACCCACTTCTGGAAGGTTCCATCTCCCCCAGGCCTGGTCTCCACCAGCTCCATCTCCTGGGTCAGGTCCTCCCCATCTCGCTGCCAGGTTAGGGTGATATCCGCAGGGTAGAAGCCCAGTGCCCAGCACCTCAGGGTGACCTCATGGTCATTGTAGGGGTGGTGGGTCATGCGTGTCTTTGGGGGATCTGAGGTGGTAAATCAGAAAATTCACTTTGTGTTTCCTCCATGGACACTGAAGAAACCTCATGAGGCCATCCTCACAATGGACAAGACAACCGGTGTGGCAGGAAGAAACATAAAATGTAAAAAACAGGCTAATCTGGGGGAATCTGTGAGATTCTCTTATTCCTTAGAAAGTTCTAGAATGAGGATGAAAACCCAGGGTAGGATGAAGCAGAGGGAGTGGAACACAGACTTTTTATTCCTGACCTGGGTGGAAGGTGAATGACACAGAAAAGCAGGAATCACATAACTGACAATGTTCTCAGACCAGAAACAAGACTGAGAGAGAAACTCGTGGTTCTCAAACAGGCCCCTGGTCAAAAGGACCCGGTGACGTGTGATGTCAGGGATTGTCTGTCTTTCTCAGGAGAGACGGGATCCCTTCACTGTCCTTCAGGAGAAGCCGGAGTCTCTGGGAGTCTCTCTAGTGCAGAACATGAAACCCAGGGGAGTCCCCCTCTCAGGACTAGAGAGAGGACTCATTTCCCGCAGTGACTCCAGGCAGGGGGGGACCGGGAGGCCTCCAGGCCCCTCTTACCCGTGCGCTGCAGAGTCTCCTTCCCGTACTCCAGGCATGTGCGCAGCCACCTCAAGCACCTGCCCTCCACAAAGTTCCTGAATCTCTCTGCCTCACCCCGGGCCTCCCACTCGCGCAGGGTGATCTGAGCGGCCGTGTCCGCTGCAGTCCAGGAGCGCAGGTCCGGGTTTAGGGCCAGGAAATCGGTGCCATCGTAGGCGAACTGCTCATACCAGCCGAGGAGGCGCCCGTCGGGCCCCATGTCGCAGCCGTACATGTTCTGGAAGGTGTGAGAGCCTGTCCCTGCCCCGTCACCCCACCCGCACCCCCTCCCGCCCGGAATAAACTAAAACAAAATGAAAAGGGGGTGAAAGTCCCGCGGGCTGTTCCCGGGCAGGTTGCAGAGAAGCCTGGAGGGGGAGACCCTGAGCGACCCCCGTGGGTGGGGATGGGGGTGCTGACCCGGCCCGGACCCGCGCCAGCTCACCGGTCTCGCTCTGGTTGTAGAGGCCGCGCAGGGAGTCCAGCTGCGCTCGGAACCACTGTGCGCTGTCCCTTAGGATCCGCGTCTCCTCCTCCCACTCCTCCTGCTTCTCCTGCTCCACCTGCCCCGCCCAGGGCGCCAGCGGCTCCGCGCTCTGGCCCGGAGAGTCGCTGTCTAACCGCCCGACCTGCGTGTCGTCCACGTAGCCCACCGAGATGAAGCGGGGCTCCCCGAGGCCGGGCCGGGACATCGCGGTGGAGAAAAACCTCAGGGAGTGGGGGCCTGGGGGCGGGAGGGGAGACCCGGCCTATTCTTCTCCCCTTCTGGGGCTCGAGTCCCAGGGGGCGCCCACGAGACAGAAAGTGGGTGAAAGACGAGTGAGAGTGAAAAGCGGCTGCGGGACGAAAATGGCCGGGACTCGGGGGGCCAGAGGAGGCTGGGGTCTCGGGGGACGGAAAGGGGCCAGGACGGGGCGGGCCGAGGTGGGGGACAACTAGGGCGGCGGCGAGGTCGCGCCTTTCCCACCCCCGCCCGCGCCCTCGCTCCCGCCTCTGGGAGCGCCCTGTCCCCTCCCGACCCGCACTCACCCGCCCGGGTCTCCCTCGGGGCCGCGGCCACCGCGAGCAGGAGCAGGAGGGCTGCGCCCCCCATCCCCCAGGACGCGCCCCCACCCGGGCTGGGGAGACGGAGTCCCGGGGGTGGGTGAGGGCTTTGGAACGGGAGCCGCGGGGCTGCTGATTGGCTGCTCCGGAGACCTCCAGGCAATGGGGAGTGAGCCCTGGGGTGAGTCACCAGTATCCAGGAGGGAGGAGCCGACACAAACAGAGAGCGAAACTGGGGTGATAGGAAACCCCAACAGTAACTTCCAGCCCCAGACAGCGCCCTGGGGACTGAGACTGTTACTGAGCAGCCCCGATATAAAATGAGTTGCCTGACTGTGGGTCCCTACCCGCGCGCTTAAAAGGGACTTATTAATACTCCACTGCAGGCACACACAAAAGGTTAACAAAAGGCTTATTTACAAGGGAAAGGGAAATGAGGAAATGTCCAACTCAGGGAGAAAATAGGGAAATAAAGTCTTTAATGCGTCCCACCCGATCCGCAGACCTGGAAACCCAATGGCACTCTGAGAGCTGGCCGGGCAAAGCGAGCTGGTGGAGAGCCAATATGGGGGCCCTCCAAAGCCCACATGTCTTGTTTTATACCAAACCTGGCTGCTTAACCCCACCCTCAGGTTCCAGCAACCTTCCCTTAGGTGGTGACAGGATTTGTCTTTCCCAATGTCCTGATGGCTTTGGTCTGGAGTGGGGGTGGAGTCCACAAAGCCTGCATGGGATTAGCTAAGGACATCCTTTTCCCCTCAACAAGACCTTGAGAGCCACACCCCCAATCCCACCCCCGCCCAGACCTGGGACTTTGCTGCCCCCTCCTCTCCTGTACCAAGACCTTTGTCACACTGTTGCCTCCCTGAATCCAGGTCCAGGAACTGGGTCAGCAATTCTCAAACATTTTCCTTTCAAGATGTCTCTGCAGTCTCACAAATTATTATGGATCCCATGTATAATTTTTTATGTGGGTTATAGCTTTAAATATTTACTTTACTAGAATAAAACCTTTCAAAAAGATGTTATTATGCTGGGAGCCATGCTACAACTGTCGTCTGACAAGGGTCGGGGCATGGGGCAGATTCCTGAAAAGTCAGGAATCTCTTTAGCTGACTCATGCTAAAGTCTCATTTGTTTATGGCTAGTTTCTACCATTGTTAAAATACGCATTTAAAAGCAAAACTGCAAATGCTGTTTGATCAATTACAGAATAACCAATTTGACAGCAAATGGCGCATGATTCATTGATAACACTGGTTAGTTAGCATACAAATTCTAGACACAGGAAAAGGGGAAGGATGCAGATCTTTGAGACTGGCCCAGGAGAACAACCAGCCTAGCAGGCTGCCAGGCCTTCTTTAGACATGCTTGTTAAGGAAGCAAGCTTGTCTTTTACTGACATTTCCATGTCTATGGCTCTTTACAGGGAAAGATTCCCTTTTCCTTAACTGTTCCCTTTCAGTGACAATGGGTATGGTAGCTGTTGGAGTATGCATTCAAGAGTAAGCCAACAACAATTTTGTGACTGGTTAAGCTAATAACCTTGACAGCACAAATAATGCACTTGGAAATAGTCAATGTTACAACTACTGATATGTCACGTATTAACCATTCTGAGAACCAAAAGCTATAACCATCTCTGGCCCTGCCTCTGATGAAATATTTGTAGTTCCTTAAAACAACAATCAGCAATCTTACAGAAAAAGGAATTTTCCCTTGATCTTAAAGTTAGATATGTAAACTAGGCTGAATAAATAAGTAGAGGAGTAATAGGTTAGATTCTGTTAGATTAGGAGAATTCCTCCCTTAATTGAGAGCTTGGGGCTAGTGAAGAGTCAGTGCGGCTTGTCTGGCACTGATGCCCTCCATGCCCTTGGTGCCTTAATATTGAATCAGTATTTTATTAAAACAATATACTATTAGATGATGATTTCTATATAAAAGCCTTGTGTTTTTTGCTTTAATCATATTGTTACAAAGCAGCCCCGATATAAAACGGGTTGCCTAGCTGTGGGTCCTCATGTTAGGGGGAATGGATATCCTGAGCTAATCCCATACAGGCTTTGTGGACTCCACCCCCACTCCAGACCAAAGCCATCAGGACACTGGGAAAGACAAATCCAGTCACCACCTAAGGGAAGGTTGCTGGAACCTGAGGGTGGGGTTAAGCAGCCAGGTTTGGTATAAGAACCTTGGGGCCTTGGGGCCTTGGGGGCTCTTGCTCTCTTGCTCCCTCCTGGCTTCAGAGCTCCTGGCTCATGCCAGCTCTCAGAGTGCCATTTGGAATTCCAGATCAGCGAATCGGGTAGGACACATTTAAAATTTTGTCTCCCACTGATACCGGAATTGTCAGGTCTAGTCTCCCAGCCAGGAACGGATCCCAGGCTGCAGAGCAGCGCTGAGCCCCAGCCACTAGACCCCCCAGGGTTGCTGTCTCACGAAGCCGCAGCAGGAACTTCGCAGACGCTCAGGCAAGCAAGCGAGAAGAGGCAGGTTCGTTTATAGAAAGAAAAAGTTTATTGAGGAGGAAAAGAGCAGAAATAAAGTGGGACTCCCAGGCCAGGGAACCAGGCCTGGGAGGGGCAAGGAAGCCAAAGTGGAATTGTGTTTCAGGGAATATATACCTTTTTTCCCTCATTATTCTAAAACTTCACCAGTCTCTCTGTGATTGGTTAGTTTTCGGCTGTCTCACTTAATTTGCTACTGAGTGGGGATCTTCACATTCCTTATCTAACAGCTTTCTCTTTCCCCATTTGTTGCATCTTTAATTTATGGCCCAGTCCTCTGGATGGGCATCCCTGCATTGAAGTTAAACAGCTGCCCTTCTAATGTGACCATAAATTAAACCACTCTCCATTTCTCCAATCTCTGCCTCCCTTTACCACCTGAAGGAAACCAGGACCAGCATTAACAATGTTGTCCTTGGTCCTGGCATGTTTGTTTTTCCTAATGGAATTGGTTATATTTCTTTGGTTGTCCTTATCTCTGAAGCCTCCCTAAATTCTTCAGAGGTCCCCTCCTGCACTATCCCTAAAACTGCCTAATAACCCTAGCTTGCCCTGTCTCACCACTTTTCTCCCTGAGTTGTATATTTCCTCATTTGCTCTTCCATTAAAAATAAACCTTTTATTAATCTTTCATGTGTGTGCCTGCAGTATTTTTTTTTTAGATTGTTTTTATTTTTTTATTTATTTATACAAGCACTGGGTACAGTCAGAAGCGTGGGAGGGTGAGAGAATTCACCAGAGCCAGAGCGGGGAGCAGAGCAGGCAGAAAGACGGAAGTACACTGCTGAGGGGAGCAGCGGGCGGCAGGAGAGGTCTGCGCGCCATGTGGGACCCTCCTCAGGTGACCGGGGAGTAGCCGGGGATTGAACCAGCGCTGCAGAGGCTGCGGGCAGCTTTGCAATCCAGCGCTCAACCACTGCGCCACCGGGGAGGCCCGCCTGCAGTAGAGTATTGATAAGTCCTTTTAAGTGCCTGGGTGAGGACCCACAGTCAGGCAACCCATTTTGTATCCGGGCTGCCCTGAAACATTCACCTGCGCGCTTCTAATGCTCCAGATTTTTTTTTTTTCTTTTGGCTTGGATAATGGACTATTTTCCAGTAATGGAAAACTGTCATACTGGACATTCATGGACAATGCTGCTGACTAATTGTTGCTTCTCTTACACACATTGTAACCCTGAAAAAAGACTGTCTCCTAAGACTACACCCTGAGATCTGTGCCACCATAGATATGGTGGAATAAAAATTAAAAGGGGTGATTGTAACAGGGTGGTCCCCAAGAAAGGGGGAGGTTCCAGGCTCCCTGCCCCACCCAAGTGGAGGGTGGAGCTGAGCAGAGAGAGAGGAAGCTGCAGAGGAGACTGAGGAAGGAAGGAAGCCTGATGGAGCCAGAGGAGGCACATGGAGCCGAGAGACACGTGAAGAAACTGCACTTGCCTTTTGGTCGTGGACTGGGTGACACAGATGTGGGTGAGAGACCCGTGGGGAGGTGGCAATGGCTGTTTTTATCTTGATTTTGATTTTGCTCTTTTCCCTCCAGACTTGTCTGGTTATTTCTGATCCTTTTCTGTGGATCCCCACTGGAAGATGCTTAAGACTTGTGGCAGGCTTTGGGGCCTTGTTCTGGGCCAATCCTGCTTGGGTGGACTTTTACCCACGAGGCAACGGGTAACTTTGGGTGCTTGATTTAGAAACTATATTCTTTGCCTTTTCTGTATTTTTTCCTAATTGTATTAAAGTTCCTTTCCATTAAAGTCTCATATGATTTGTGTTCATGCAGTGGATGGCAGAACCCATTTAGAATAGGCAGGTTTGTGGTGTCTGGGCTGCCCCTTTCCCTGCCCTGTAACAATATGGTTATATGTTAGTCTCAACTTTATAGGTTAGTTAGAAAAAATCCCTGTGTCTCCCTTCCCCCAGGTAACTTCCTGTCCTTTGTTTCCCCAGCCCTTAGTTAATCCTTCACTGTAGTAAATACAGAAATGTTAGTCTCAGTCAGGTAAGTTTTTGCTAGTAATAAAATGATTAAGATAAATAACTATTCTAAGAACACTTTTGTTTAGCAACTGTGCCTTCTTCAAAATAAAGAATGTTACAACATCTGCTGAAGGGCAAATAACCCCCTGGCTGTTCTAGAGGAAGATGTGATGATTGTTATCTTCCTGCTCTAATGCATATGCTTATGTGCTCTGGGTTTGCTTGTAAGGTATAAATAAAGGGCTGCTGAGACCCTCAGCAGGATGATGTCTGCACCCTGATCAAGTGTTTGCATCTCCTCACTCCCTCTCCCCCTAACCCCTCAGATTTGTCCATGCCCTCTCATCCTTACAGGAACCCCTCACAGGACAGTCTGCCGAGGCTGGTCCCTGGCATTATTACTTCTTTACTTTAGAATATTAATAACCAATGTATGCTAACAAAGCATTTTTAAGAAAATAACTTTCTGTAAATGTAAGGATAATTGTATAATTGTATGATTTTTTTTTAAAAAGTTACCTATTGTTTCACTACTGAAAGGTCCATGCAGGAGGCCTGAATACAAAAACCCACCAGAAAGCCCACCT